ATAGAAAATATCTGAACTCCTCTCGGAACATTGGCCTATTCGCAAATTACTGTGGCCGAGTTGGTGCGTTTATACGCTACCAAAAGAAATTTCCGCGGTCTGTTATGTTACCACCACTTTATAAAATAATTTATCTTGTGAATATAAATATATGTATGATTGATAGGGACATCCGCCTGCGGAAGTTCCCTTGATTTTGGCTATATCAATATTTTCTAGCGTTAGGCAGTCTAGTGTCTACCGTTACAGAATAAACACTATAATTGTAATAAGAATATTTATACTTGCAGTGTTATTATGAAAGTTTACTTTATTTATATATATACATTTATATTAATTGTTATATTTCTTTTGTAACGTAATATTTATCTTATAATACATTTTAATATTTATAACCAGCATTATTTCGAAAGTGTTAAATTTATTTCTTTATAAATAATCACTATCTCCTATATACATCTTGAAGGACTCTGTGCGTATAGCTCAATTGGGAGTCCGGACGGTAACCCGAACAACAAATAAATATTAAATTTCCTCAGGCGAGCCTTACCGGTCCGCCACAGGTCTTTATTTGCAATATTTAGTTACACCTGCACGTTTCACCCGTTAGGTTTTCACACCATGTATAGAGTTTTATAAAAAAAATTATGTATTGAAATTTTGTAGTTTAAATTATAATAATAAAAAAATCAGTCGTGCATAAATTATAATTAATGTACAATAATAAAATATAATAATTATATTTTTACTCTGTTAATAAACGGTTAATTCAGAATATACAATTGTCAACTTATTAATGTAAAGAACAAAAATTTGCACAGTTATAAAAAATAAAAAAATAAATTAATAATACGTTTGGTGTTTCCTTGATTTGGTTGCTCGATACAATTTACACGACCGCCGTCGCCGAGTATTATTTTTGATAATATATACCGTCGTGCCGTAGCTACCCTGCCCAATTACATTATATATATATATTGTAGAATATATTCCGAGCTATTTTTATAATTTTACAATGCCGAGTAACTAATTTACTAAAAAAACTACATTAATTCTAGTAGATTGAAAATTAAATTCGCAGAAAGGAATGATATCTAAAAAAAAATCAAAGTTTTGCCGGGCGCAGCGCCTCTTCAAGTTGTGGCGCCCCTAGGCTATAGCCTAGTTAGCCTAATCATAAATACAGCCCTGTACCTCAGTCTACTTTGCACTTCAGTCTTATACAGTAGTATTAATTATAAATGAACCCTTCGTGAAAGAACTGTTTTCAATGTAAATATAACGAGTAATTAAAAAATACTTAGGAGTACAAGGATACTTAGAAGATCAAAAAATGATAAAACAAAAATGATACTCGACGCGCGATGAAAACGCTGTCAAAACCTAAGTGTTTGAATAAACCAATTGTTCTTTTTTAGCGTCCAGACGGCAAAAATCAAACATGAGCGTCGGCCATCATCCAAAACGCGGTTCTTTATTGCAGTATGTAAGCGATTATAGAAACACACAGTATCAATTTAGACTAGTGTTGCCAGTGTTTCCGACGCAGGGTCGAAAATGCTAGCGTGAAACCGGCTTTATGAAATAAATCTGTACTTATCAATAATGGGAATGCTTAATATTAGTTATCCAAGAGGGTGTATGTTATGTTAAAAATAAACTAGTGAACAATAGAAGAATTTCCGGGAAGAGCGATAAAGAATAACGTTTACTACTTTAAGGTTATATACAATTTTTTTTTATTGAATAGATGTTGTTTGTTATGCAGGTGAACAATTATTGTAAACAGATTAATATAGATCGGCCCTAAAGGTTGATTATTTTACTGGCGAGTAGTATTTATATATTTTATATAACATTAAGTTCTAAATATGTTTCAGAGTAGAACGACCGTACTATTATCTCCGTATATCTCCGAATTGTGCGTCAAATTAAATTGACGTTGGTTTTCCAGCGGTGGTTTCTGAAATAACTGGATTAAATAAAAAACTCCTTAAATGTTTTAAAGAGATTTTAAGTATAATAGGCGTGTAATGATGTAAATCAAGAAAAATATGAGAATTATGCAAAAGATACTTTTATGGTGTATTTAAAATTTTATCCTTTGTATAGAACTGGTTTCTACACCACGGATACTATGTCTTCCAAGTTTCCATAGGATTTAAATACATAGTTAAAAAGTTATTGAACTTGCTCATTTTCCAATTGGTAGTTTATTTGAGGAAGTGTAAAATATAGATATCACATTTAGACGCTAAAATACCCGTAAAACTTTGAGATACGATACCAACACAGACTTCATACATATCCTTTTCATTTCATCTGATCCTCTTATTATTTTTATTAGTTTAAATATAAAAGTATAAAATAAAAAAAATATTGAGTTCTGAAGTATTGATTTTATTAAACAATAATGTTTATGTATAAAAAAAAAGTTAATTACGTAAATTTTTGTAGTACTACAATTTCATTGTAAAAATTGTAAAAAGATTATGTATATTTCAATGCATTTTGTTTGTAACAAGCAGCCCCTTAATATTAAAGGGGAATGGCCTATTACTGTGCGGTGATGTTGTTTATTTTGTAGAAATCAAAATACGGAAATAAGAGGGGGTAATAAATAGGTACACCTGCTTATGAATGTATAAATTATGAATTATATATTTGTAGTTCTGCAAGTAAAGCTCTTAAGAGTATAGGGGGTAGGGGGGGGATAACTTACATACTAAAACAATATTTAATCTTATGATATGATAAAATAACAAAATGATCATAAATTAATAGCTTATCTGATGACTTGAGGAGATCGGAGAGAGTGGCAAAGTAAATCACAATGAACGTAAAGTAATAATATACAAAACTCAAAAAAGACTATATGAAGCAATTAATAATTACACGGTGCCGATTTTAAGAGGCGCGAGACATGTGTACTGTTGACGTACAAAAAATGTTGTGTCGCTTTGCTGAGGAAGGGACGATGACCAGACGAAGCATGAACACGTTCGAACCGGTCATACACGAGTGCCACACTCTACCCGACATTGTTAAAATCTGATGTTAAAACTTAAATTTATTGCGGTAAAACATGATAATTATTTCTGTACTCTCGAACGACCTTTACAATAAATACATTGTTAATTGATGAACAATATTAGAGAGTATAATAATTAAATTCTAAATAATTAATTGTTTTTGATTTTCATTTTTAGTAAATTTTGTATTAAATTCCTCCATCAGCATAACAGATATATAGGGTGATTGGCCTATATATAAACAATGTTTTTTTTTTAATCATTATGGATCTTTGATGAGATGTCTCACAAGAAAATTTAAGTTTCTATCATCATTCCTTATGCTAAAAACTTGTATCAACTTCATATTTTAAATGGCAACCCTATTTTTTTGCACCATTAGATTTAGTGTAATAAATAAAATATATTTTATTTTATTTAATATTAAGCGCTCCACGACTCTAAAATTAGAAGTTTATTAAGTAAAAATCATAACAGACTTTAACGTTATAGGTCATAAATCGATAAGAGCTACCAGTTTTAAGAAATAGACTACCTACTTTGTCAAAGTAAATCGGTAATTCATATCACTACATAAATAAATATACCGTTTAGAAAAACTACTGTATTATTTCTTCAAATATCGTATATTTTAAAGTAGCCTATCTTGTTTAAAATTCATAATTTAAAATTTTTTTTTTTTGCTAAGCACTTTTTTTTTATAACGAACAAAAATATATAAAAAATATGCGGGGTTGTCATTTGATAATTTGTAGTTAATACAAGTTCTAAGTATAAGGGATGTGGTGATAGAAATTTAATTTTTCTTGTGAAACGGCTCATCAAAGATCCCATAAAGATAAAAAAAAAAAATTGTTTTTAACACTTGTATCTTTAAAGATATTACGTGAGGCAAAGTTAGCCAATTGTCTTGTAGTTAAATAAGATTTCTTGATTCAATTAGGATGATAAAAGTTTTTAACAAAATACATTGAAATATATATATTATTTTCAATTTTTACACTGAAATTGTAGTACACAGTCGAGTCGCGATAACTCGAAGAACTCGACAACTCGACTTTTTTTTAATTCCCTTAGAAATTATAATAACACTCACTGTATTATAAGTCTTGTTAACTCGAATATAAAATTGTGATGAATAGCTTAGTCGAAGTATATTTTTATATCTGCTATATCTGGATATTCTGGGTATTTCATGATAATTGTGTTCATTATTATGTATTATGTTTTATCTACTTCAGTACTGTATAATAAAGATTAAACGAGTAGATAGAAACTGATTATTAGCGCACACACAATAATAATAAGTATGTATTTGTTAGTATGTGTCTATACTCTACCTGTCGTGTTTGTCGTGCGTATTTTTAAATGTTTTTAAACATGTCTCAAAAACGAAAATTAAACCATTTAACTATAGCTGACAAAGTTCATGAGATACAATTGGTGGAGAAAGGTAACCGGAAAAAACAAGACATCGCAAAAGAATTTAATATTCCTCCAAATACGCTGTCGACATTTTTAAAAAATAAGGCGGATATTTAAAAAAAATTTGAAAACAATAAAGGTGACTGTAAAAGATCAAAACCAGCAGAATATCCAAATGTAGAGGTATGTTTATTCAAATGGTTTACTCAATGTAGAGATAAAAATATACCTATAAGTAGACCAATACTAAAAGAAAAAGCAGAATATTTCGCAACTCAATTTGGTTATTCTAATTTTAAAGCAAGTCAAGGCTGGTTAGGAAATTGGAAAAATCGTCATAACAATATTTTTCGTAAAATATGTGGTGAAAGTGCTACTGTAAATGACTCTTTATGTAAAGAATGGTTAGGAAAGTTATCAAACATCATAAAAGAATATTCTACCGATGATGTATTTAATGTGGATGAGACAGCATTGTTTTTTAAATGCCTACCCGACCGCACTTTTATTTTGAAAGGGGAAACTTGTTCAGGTGGCAAACAAAGCAAGGAACGGATAACAATTCTTTTTGGATCAAATATGTCAGGTTCCGAAAAAATTAAACCACTTATAATCGGGAAATCAACTAAACCACGATGTTTTAAAGGAGTTAAGAGTTTACCATTAGATTATGAGTCAAACAAAAAGGCATGGATGACTCGTGATTTATTTAAAAATTGGCTTATAAAATTTGATCAAAAAATGAGACTAAATCAAAGAAATATTTTATTATTTATTGATAACTGTACAGCTCATTGTAATATCAATTTAAAATCTGTAAAAATCGAATCTTTACCTCCAAATACTACATCTAAACTACAACCGATGGATCAGGGAATAATACAAAATTTCAAAACATTATACCGCAAAGAAATTATTCGAAAAATTGTTTACGATATTGATGAAGCCAGACCATGTTCAATAAATCTATTACAATCTATGTGTATATGTGAAAAAGCATGGCGTAATGTACAACCAAGTAGAATTGTCAATTGTTTCAAAAAAGCTGGATTCTATTTTAATGATGAGCAGTGTGATGGTGATGGGTTAGAAAACAATGACGATGATGATGGTGGATATGATTGGCAAATTGTAGCAGATAAACTTAATATAGATCAAGAGTTTACATTTCAATCATATGTTACAATCGATGATAATGTTGTAGTCAGTGGAATGTTAACTGATAACCAAATCATGGGTATAAATATATCAAATAGTGATTCCGAAAATAATGAAAATGATGAGCCTGAAACAACTTTAAATATGATTACGGCGAACCAAGCAATGGCATCATTACAAACTGTTAGATAATTTGTTGAATCTGTCGAAGGCGTTGTTACTTTTATTTTCGAATCCATAGACAAATTAGAAGATTTTGTCAATAAACAGCTAAAAAACCAAAATATTTTTCTACTGTATCTCATAAATAATACATATGTACATACTTATAATTTCATTGTATTTATTTTTTTAATTTTATTTAGTTTTTGTATGGAATTTATGTATAAACATAAATGTATTATATTTTTCATGACGTTTTTACCGTATAATTTTAAAATTATATTTCATAACATAGGTAACTCGAAGTTTTGATTTTATTTTGATAAATTCGAGTTAGGTATCTCGAATAATACCTATTTCGAGGTGAATTTTTATCCCCCTTCAACTTCGAGTTATCGCGACTCGACTGTACTACAAAAATTTAAGTAATTAACTTTTATGCATAAGATTTTAAAAATATTTTCTTTGATGCAATATTTTTGTATTTGCAATATTTATAGAGATAAATATTCAAGACAAAAAAATACTATGTTTTCGCAAAAAATAAGATCCAAGAGCATACAAGGAGGCGTAATTGGGCGGGTAAGAAGAGGATATATCTTCCCTTTAAAAATTATCAATTCTATTTCGATTTTTCAATTGAATTTATGTTAATTTATAAAATTATGTTCAATTTTATTAACTTTTTATTAGTCCTTTTTTAAAATTTTATTTACTCTAATTTCATATTTATAATTGTTTTCAAACCCAATCCAACCAAACCAATCTCTTTAGATATATACTTTTATATATAAAGTATATATAACTTAATATAAGTATATATCTAAGTTTATATATTTATATAAAAGTATATAAATGAACAGATATGAGTTAGGGTTGTTAATTGAAGGAATTAAATAACAATGGCTTAATAGAATAGCATATATCCTATATTGTAATAGATACTGTGTACTTACAGAAAATAATCAATTGTTGAACTGTTGGATTTAATGTATCAAATACAATATCTTTAACATAATATATTATATTTTCTTTCGAAACATTAATTTTTATACCAGTACAATTAATACAATATAATAATACCAGGAAAAATAATACAATTATATTTAATTATAATAGTGTTTATTAATCTAAATAAATGAAGTCTGTGTACCCCCCTTAATTTAAAACGGTATCATTGAGAAAATAGTTAAATAAAACTCGGCATAAGAGTAATAATCGATAGTTGATAACTAGATAATCGATAGATAAGGCCATTTGATTCTTCGGGCTAGTCTTCTGCACTAACCTTCTTTGACACGGCCACGGCGTTGTCACACGGTGACACCCCGCGGTCGTGTCAGCTCCTTCTCAGCCACCGCTTCACTGTAAACCGGACCGTTACACACACGCGTTATCGTCGTGGTGTAAAGTCCAACAAATGCCTAGCGTCGAATACCCCGCCGCAATAATACGTCCAAGTCAGTCATCTTCGTGACACCTATCACCTTGGTTGCACCGTCCGTGAACCCAACCCAATCGCCACCGCAAATTCGGTCATCTTTGTTATTTTGTCGACGGTTTCTTATGTAGTATCATTGTTACTTTTGGTTCGTACATAACTTTTCTTGTGTTACAATTCTTATTTTTCGTATTAAACGGCTCGACGCCACTTAGAAAAACCAGCTAGCATTATTTATTTTGGTTCATCACCTACTTCTATCGCATCATCTTCATTCAACGTTTTACATCGTAGGTGACAAGTGTAAGTATTCTAGTTATCTGTTATTGTAAACTAGCCTTTTTTGACGCGCGTATTTTAAAATGAATAAGTTATTTTTAATTAAAATTTGTTTAGTTTGTTATTAATATAGTTTCAATATTGAAATTACGTGTTTATTAAAAAAGACCTTAAATATATTGTTAATATTGAATTAATAATTTTAATATTGTACGTCTTTAATTTATGAGGCTTTACTAAGGTAAACTCTGATGCCGCTGTTAGATACAAAGAGACCCAAAGCAAATATGGTTTTTTGGGGCCTTGTTAAATTTTTTTGTTATAATTGAGACCTTTTCTTTTACTTTTTTAACTTTGTTGGACCAATGATTGGTTGCATTAGGTCCGCGCGCAAGAAATCGCGTTCCCTAATGCAAAACAATTCTATAACTAATATCTAAAATTTTGTTTTGTCAAAAAAATGTGTTTTTTAGTTTTGTTAGAAGTTGTGTTGGAATGATTTAGACGACAAGGATGGTTTTTTTTCCAGATGGCGTCGAGCCGTTTAATGAAAAACAAAAGAATACAAATAATAATAAAACAAATGATAGAAAAACTGCGGTGTAATAACACTGAGGCGGTTCTGACCGTTTGGTGGAAAATAAAACAAAATAGAGAACTGTGGTGGTGGTCCGGTTGCGTTGATGGAACGGTGTCACGGAGATGACTGACTCAACGTATTATTACGGCGGGGTATTCGACGCTAGGCATTTGTTGGACTTTAGGCCCGTTTCACACTAGCGCGTTTTCTTACGCGTCGTTTATAGATACGTTGTTACTATGTAGCATTTCACAGCACCGCGTATGATACGCGCGCTGACCAAACATTGATATGAATGAACATGTTCACACTGACGCGTACAACGTACGCGTCTTGTATTTTTTCGTCATTTTGTCATGACTTCTACCCCTAGCAAGTTCTCAAATGACTCTCATTATAGACACTGAAATTTTAATAAATGAAGTTCAATTAGGGCCAAATATATGGAATTCAAGGGATGAAAGATATAAGGACAGGGATATTAGAGCAGCAACCTTTAGAGAAGTAGCACAATGTGTTGTTTTGGGGTTCGATGCTATGAACAGCAACGATCAAAAAGATGCAAGTGAGTATTTATGCATGTATATTATTCACAGGCATTGTCTCCTCCGGGGGCGGGCGATCACTCATCCTATTAAATTTTCTAATAAAATAAAATTATATGTGCACATACAGGTAGGTCAAAACAAACGATTATCTTAATGCATAAGGTTAGAGGAGGTAAAATGGGAGAATAATTGGAATATATCATTCTTTTTTATTACTATTTGTTTTTAAGAGTGTTCTGGAACATTTAATAATAAATTAAATTCGTTTACGTGTAAAAAATAACTCGCTTACACTCAAATTCATTTTGTTGTCAAATGAACACGTTATAATAACGTTCATTAAAAAAGTGAATACATTCATAAAAGTTGTTTTTGTTTATAAATAGTTTATCTACAGTCTGTATAATTATCCATTAATATAAACGATTCAATTCAAACAAATTCATATCTCTACAAAAAAGATTTAAGTCATACCTTCAGTGGCGTAATTGAAGTTTGTTTTAAGAGGGCATATAAATAAGAAAAATGTTCACTACCTAAACCCTTCCAAAAAAATTGTATCTTCATTAAATATTTTTGTTCTAAAGAAATCATACGCCTAAATTTCTCTTAATTACGCTCCTGGATACCTTAGAATGAAATATGACATATTCATTTCTAAGAAGACTGTACACGTTTTAGCTTCGATGCGAAACTGAGAAGGTATTAATTTTACTATGATGTGTTTTTTTTTTTATTTTTAGCTTCGATGCGAAGCTGAGAAGGTATTAATTTTACTATGATGTGTTTTTTTATTTTTTTTTAGCTTCGATGCGAAGCTGAGAAGGTATTAATTTTACTATGATGTGTTTTTTTTTTTATTTTTAGCTTCGATGCGAAGCTGAGAAGGTATTAATTTTACTATGATGTGTTTTTTTTTTTATTTTTAGCTTCGATGCGAAGCTGAGAAGGTATTAATTTTACTATGATGTGTTTTTTTTTTTATTTTTAGCTTCGATGCGAAGCTGAGAAGGTATTAATTTTACTATGATGTGTTTTTTTTTTTTTTTTTAGCTTCGATGCGAAGCTGAGAAGGTATTAATTTTACTATGATGTGTTTTTTTATTTTTTTTTTTTTTTGTGTCTGTGAACGCTCTATCTCAGCTCTCGCTGGACCGATTTTGATGAACAATATGTCAAAAGATCACAAATCGTATCTAGTCGAAGACATTACCCTCAAAAATTGAAAAAAATTCCCTCGTTCCCCGTAAACGGGGGAAATCCCCCAAAAAATTACAAATTTAAAAATCGCTAATTTTCGATATTTTTTCAATTTTTTTTACTTAAAATTGCCATAACTTTTTTAAAAATGACCGAATCAATATAATTTTTTTTTTTATAGATACCTTAGATAATTACCTATCATTTTATATATTTTTGTGAACATTTGACCCTTTAACAGCCCAAAGGATGGGGTTTCAAAATGGTAACTTTTTTACAAAAAATTAACTTTTTCAACTTAACTTTTGAAAATGTTCCGGAAAGACTGACAATTTTATATATACCTTAAATTAAAGCTAATGTAATATACTTTAATTTGAAAAAAAAAAATTTGACCTCTGGACTTGTCTTCATGGTGAAAATGACTACCGTATGCAAAAATATGCTATTTTTGTGAAAAAATTCTTGAGTGTGCTGGGTTTTTTTTTTAACATTATGTTGCTATAACTTTTTAAAAAATTCATGAATCAACTTTATTCTGTAATGATAAATACTTTATATATACTTCTTTCATTCGACATACTTTTTTTTAAAATCGGACCATTTCCCTTTATACAGGGGGGGTGCAAACCTTTTAAAATGCGTATAGAAAGTAGAANAAAAGGTTTAAAATGCGTATAGAAAGTAGAACTTTTTCAACTTAACTTTTGAAAATGTTCCGGAAAGACTGACACTTTTATATATATCTTAAATTAAAGCTTATGTAATATACTTTAATTTGAAAAAAAAAAATTTGACCTCTGGACTTGTCTTCGTGGTGAAAACGGACATCAAAGTTAAAGAAAAACGTACGATTTCCGTGAAAAAAATCTCGATTTTATATGTTATATTATTTAATTTATATTTTATATAACTTTTGGAAAAATGTATGGATCTATATTATTATTTTTTTATAATAAATATTGATATACCCCTTTCATCT